TAGGAACATGGTGAGTGCAGGTTAAGACAAGATTGGCACGATCAGGGTGGTATGGCCGCAGACAGCAGATGGGCGTCTAAATAACGAGCCTTTGGTAATTCTTATGAGCCTTTCTTTATACTATATTAAACCCATTTTAATGATTTTTCTTCTGCTTAGAAAAAACAAATCTTCATATAGCATTTCCTTAGTCCACACTAGGTACACCTAGTTAGAATTTTGCTCTTATAACTTCTATTTTAGCTATCTTCTTTTAAACTAATTCCTACCTACTTAAAAAGTAAGTAAATATGCATTATAAATAATAAGATATACTACCACTGACTTTTGCTATTGCTTCATCTTTGCATCAGAGTCAATATCGAAAAGTTATCAGTTGGTGGTAACTATTCTTTGTGTTTGCATGTGGCTTATCCCTCTAGTTTTAGATTCCAATAATTTCCTACATGGTCTTTTGCTCTTTCATGTGGGCAAACCTATTGATTGTAAGAATAGCTAATGGCAAAACTTTTATATTTTCTCATGTCAGCCCCACGATCATGAATTCAACTTAGACTAGAGGCAGGTATCTTAGGAAGGTGAGAGCTGGTTAAGACTTGTTAAAGCCCTTCTCTAATAAGAGTTTCAGAGAGTTTGATTCAACTGATATTCACTATGTGAAGGTGCCTGCACACTACGCCAACCTATCTGACATAATCCAGTCTTCTAGCAAAGATCCCTCACTCTCCCAAGAGTGTTCTTTTGAGGTGGGTGAGGGACACCAGGCCAGACTTTAATTCAGAACTGTCAAGTGGAGAGAGCAATGTGATAGATGAGTCATAAGTAGACTATTGTAGGCTCATCCTTCCTTCCTCAGAGAGGAAAAATGTAAACAGGCTCATTTTAATGGAATGGAATTTAATAATAAAATTTCCTAAAATTTTATGTCCCCAAAATCTTGTTACTGTTGTGCATTTTGCAGCATTGCAAGGTAATTGGTAGCATATGGAATGGTACCTTCAGGGGATCACAACTTGCCTGCTTTATTTGCCTCCGTACAACTTTTGATAAATCTCTGCTTGGCAGAGCCAAATGTTTATTTATAACATATGGGCTTCCCCTGATGCAGTGTGATCACATAGCGACGCTGTACCATTGCCAGAAATCAGCTACATTAGCATCATGCAAAAAGTAAGTGTGTATTTAATTTAAAATTCATATAAATTCCACATTTACTTTCATGTCTGCAAACTCTGCTGGCTCTGATGAAAATATCTCATTTTTTTTTCTGGTTGTGTTGATATTGACTATATTGTGTCCTTACTGTTTGGACATCTAATTTGTATTTGTCAAGCACCAAGAGTGGTAGGAAAATATTGAGCTATTCCAAATGGTCTTTCCCTGGAGGTTTTTGTGATTGGGTAAGTCAGCTGCAAGTCATTCTTCTCAGAGCTGAGTCACATTCACCACGGTTGTTAGAGTGTGCATGTGTTCTAATGGATACAAAAATTCATTGGAATAGCAAAAACCGTGTATTATAGTCGTTTAAGTAAGTTTTCCTCATTTGTATTTTAATTATTCTTCTCAGGGCACAATTGGCTACATTTCTGGAAATATTGAAGTTAATCCAATAATATGAGCAAAGTTCACAATAACCTTTTTCAGTAACAATAAGTAGTCAGTCATCTAATTAGAAGTGATCCCAATTTGAATCCTTTTTATAAGACTTTTTCCTCATCTGTCTGTATACTCTAAGGACCAGATTTGGATACATCTTTTTCACAATTAATATGACAATTATATTTTTAAAGTTAGATATAAGGATGGCTGGGCATGGTGGCACACACCTGTAATCCCAGAACTTGGGTGGCTGAGGTAGAAGGATCTCCACAAGTTCAAGGCAGGCCTGAACTACACAGAGAGACTCTCTCAAAAAAAAATTAGACATGAGGATAGGAAAATAATTATTTTAAAATATATGCCCGTTCCTCAGCAAGTATAAGATCACATATGACCCAACAATTCTATTCTTAGGTATATAAATGTAAGGAGGGAGACAGATGGGCAGACAGACTGACAGATAGAGAATATCCCAAGAAAGTATTCAAACAATAAACATGTAAATAATATTCATGGCAGCACTATTTGAAATAACCAAAAGGTAGAAACAACCCAAATATCCATCAGTGAATGAATGGATAAGCAAAATGTGGGGAATCCATTTCTATCTGCATAGTAAAATAGTATTCAGTCATGAACAGGAATGAAATGCTCATCCAGACTATCACATGGATGATCCCTCAAAATATGATCCTAAGTAAAAGAAGACATGACAAAGGTCCGATGTCATATGCGAATAGTCAAATCTATGAGGACTAAATAGAGATTTGTGGTTACCAGGGGCTATAGGGTGGGGGAGTGAGCAGTAATTCTTTAATGTGTATGAAGTTTCCATTTGTGGTAATGAAAAAGTTCTGGAAGTAGACAGAGCTATGTACCTTAAAATAACTGAAGTGCTAATTTTTTGTTATGTATTCTTTTACAGTAGAAAATTTAAATATATTTCCACATGTTGTGCAGCTACATACTTAATTAGCAGAATCTGTTCCATAAATAAACACTATAAGCATAATTTATTCTGTGCTAGCAGTAGCAACAAGCATTTTGTTTTAGGCAGTATTTTAAATTCTTTACTCTGTACAACAGGTATTATTATCTCCAAATTACAAAAGAGGCACATGAAATACTGAAAAGAGAACTGACAGATGGGAAAACCGAGACTGGAACCCAGGTTGAGTGTCTGTGCTGTGAACCACTACCCCACAAGAAGAGCTAACTGTATCCCAGGACGGTACAGCTAATGGGTGTGGGCGTGTCCCCCAGCTCTCCAGAACATTGTTGTACAGTCTCAGCCTTTGATAGCAGACTTTTTAATTCAAATCTGCAAAGAATACACATTTCTGTTTCCTTTATTACTCACTGAATATACACACGCCATGGAAAATCTGCAAGAAGTGTAGTTTCCTTTCAGAGAAAATTTATTGTGCTCTGTGAGGCTGCTTTCTGTGGTCAGAGGGGTCCTGTGACCCTCAGCATTTGTCTTCTGTTGCAATGATAGTTGTACCCCATTTCTCAAATATATCTCCCCCTCCCTGTCTTGCAGTTCTGGGGCTGGACTTAACATGAGAAGGGAGGTTTAGTTTAGCCATAAAGTACATCCTCAAAGTGTGTAGGGAGTGAAAAGAAGAAAACACTGCCATAAGCAAGGAAATGTGGGTAAGAAGTGATGGATCAGAAGAAAATAAGTAAAGTATAGTGTTTATCTCCTCCAGGACTCACCATGTGATTCTGAATCATGCTGTACTAGTGATGCCCTAGGAGGGTGAACCTTGCTAATCAGCGAGAGTGCTTGCTTGAACAAAGGAAATTTCTGAGCACACCAGAATGTCAACATCGTATTTTTTGCAAACAGATGCAGGGAGAGCCACACACAGATCTAAAGGGATGGCATACATCAGCAGCAGCTACGCAGGACTCAGTGGAGAGACACATGGGTAGCACCAGTGCAGAGAACTTGAGGATGTGTGGCTTTTGCTGTATGTGTCTGCGTATCTGTTCATTTCCAACTCCACTGTTTCCATCTCTGTAATAATAGTGGTCTCAGTACTGCTGGCTAACCACTAGGTCTGCCTCTCGGTTCTGGATGTGGCTGAGGAAAAGCCTACTATGGGAGATTATTGCTTTTGTTTTGTTTTGGTTTGGTTTTTTGGGGGTTCTTTCCATGTATTTGGTACAGGGTCTCACCACAAGCTCCAACTCATAGTGATTCTCCTGCTGTCAGCCTCCCCAGCACTGGTATTACAGGCGTGTACCACTATGCCCTGACTCGGTTGCTGGCTCAGTGCTTCCTGGGGATGAGGTCAGCATGGCATGCGTGATGGGGATCAAATCCTGATCCCTGTGCTTGTCAAAGAAGGCACTTAGTCCACTATGCTGTCTCTCTGGCCCTGAGATTATCGCTTTTGATAAGGGGCCAAGGCCAAGGCCATCCTAGGCAAGAGCCAGTTCCATGATCCCTATGTACCACATGGACGTGTCAGACTCCTTGTAAGTGCTCGTAGAAACTTAGAGCTGAAGCTAAGTGCTTGATTTTTAACATCCAAATTCTGGGAAATAGTCTTCATGGTTTGTTCCATTCATCACCACTTCTCTCAATCCAAGAGTTCAGCCCAGGCCCTAATAATAATGAGGTGTAGCCCTACAGAGCATTTCATACAGAGCAATACCAGATCTTGTGTTCAGATAGTTGTGAGGTTCACTGCAGAAAGCCCTCTCCTAGGAACACTACCCACTGACTTTCCACTAAGAGATTTCCTTTGAACAGGAAGCTAAAGGTTTTAAATACCTCAACCATTTTCGAGTAGGCTGTGGATCATAAATGCCTCCCTCTTGACTTTCAGGTTCCTACACTTTCATTTGCAAGAGAGGGCTCTTGATGAAGCAGAAATGTAACAATAAACTTGCTAATATAGAAGTATTTTATCAAATTTCAAAATGAAGGTATTATGATCCAAAACTTGAGAAAGGGACCAGCAAGATAGCTCAGCAGGCTCAGCACCTGCTTAGGCAAGCACAGGGACTGCAGTTCAATCCCCAGCACCACATGTTGCACCAGCCCTGCCCCCCAGGGCGGACTGAGCCAGCTACTGAGACCAGGTGTAGTGGCATAATCCCAACCCTGGGAAGGCTGAAAGCATGAGGATCAACATGAGTCCAAGTTGCGTAGTGAGACCCTGCCACAACCAAATACATATTTAAAAATTTAAAAAATAAAATTAAAAAATAAAGACATGAGAAAAATACAGTGTGAACTTCACTTGTGCTTTCACAAGTGAAATGTTTCAAATCTCAAGATTATAAAGAGGGGCTGGGGAGATGGCTCAGTGGTCTAAAGCACCTACTTAGAACAAGCTTAGCAAAGCACAGGAACCGCGGTTCAATCCCCCAGCACCACATGCCAGCCAGCCCCGCCCCCTGGTGGGCTGAGCTGGCCACACACACACACACACAAATAAATTTTAAAAAATTTTTTAAAAAAAGATTATAAAGAAAACAGCTTTCTGACCATGCCTCTTTGCATTCCTGCCTTATAAGAAAGAAAACATCATTCTGGAATTTATGATTTTGAACCGGCACTTGGTATCAATTTCCCCAAAAAGACAAATTTCTAAGATGCCAAATTTTTTTCTGTTTTGAGGCAGGGATAATCACTTCTATAAGCTCTATTGAATGAATGTTCTCCTCTCACCCTTAAGTACCCCATGGAGAACCAGAAAATAACCAGTCAAGGAAGGGGTAATTCAAATCTCTTAATTTTCACTTTAGTTCTTCAATAGATCTTTCTGTCTTCTTCTACAGGATAAAATATGTAATCAGCTATTTCAAATTTTCAACTAGAAGGTTGAGTTTCTGGGAACTGAATAACACTGCTGCTCTATTATAGAACGTAACTTTCTGATGGACAACAGTAAAAATATGAAGGTTAAGTAACCTCAAAGAGTAAAAGGTCAGTTGTATTTAATGTTCATTATGATGATGAATGTCATCAGCCCTGGATGTTAGGTCACACAAGAAGAAAGTGCTTCAGGCTAGCGAGATAGCTCAGCAGTCTAAGCGCCTGCTTAGCAAGCACAAGGACCCAAGTTCTAATCCCGATACTGCGTGCCATGTTGGCCCCACACAAAGCCAGCTGCCAAAACCAGGCATGGTGGTGCACGCCTGTAATCCCAGGGCTAGGGAGGCTGGGACTGCAGGATCACAAGTCCAAGCTGTGTAGCAAGACCCTGTAACAAATAAGTAAATAAATTATTTTTAAAAAATATTTTAAGAATAAAGTGTTTCATGCAAATGCAGTTTGAAAGAAACAATGAATGAAACTAGGTCTAAAGATGCATTAAACTTCTAGCATGGCTTTTCTGAGGGCTGCCGCTTGGAATCTCAACAGTCTCTTGAGGAAAGCTTTCTAGAGGCCACCCTGTGCTAAGCTCCTGAGACTTTTGCTTCTCCCTAAAGAATAAGAGAGATCATATGGTGGCAGGTGTGTCCAAACCCCAGGACTTGGAGATTTTGGGTGATGTGGAGATGCCCTTCAGTGAGAACGAATGGGTCAGCCTCACGTCTGTGGGGAATGCCCTGTACGCGGAAGTGATGGCGGAGAACTACAAGACCGTGGCTTCCCTGGCTGCAGCATCCATACACAGACCTGATGGGAACCTGGCATTGGAGGAAGAAGGACGCCCTCATCCAGCGGGGCTGGGACGTCAGTCTTGCTGAGTACATCACAAAACTAAGAAGATGTACAAGATGTACTTGCCTAATTTATAGGCATTTCATCCAATAGGGTGCAAAGATTTCTGGAAATCCTCGGTGCTGAGACGAAAGTTAATTGTTGACCTTTTCTAGTTTTCCATGTAAAAAGTTAGGAGCCGCCTTAAACTGTGACAACCACACATTCTTTTTTTCTGTAAATGCCTGGATTTCCACGGATTCTGTGTTCATTAAAGTTACTCATTCTGTTGTGCAAAGCAGGCTGCCGTGTTCTGTTTCACACAGCTTATGGAGATAAAGTCGTAAGCTGCCATATTCCTCTCATTTAGCATGTACAATTCAGTGCTGTTCAGTATTCACCCACAAGAGTAGTGCAAAAATCACCACAGTCTACATTTAAGTCTTTTCTGTCACCTCTGAGAGAACCCTGTATCCAGGAGCAGTCACTCTACTTCCCCTGTGGGCCTCTCAGCGTCAGGAAACAACTTGGCTAGTTGTATGTCTAGGTCTGCCTGTTGTGAGCATTCGTTAACTTAATCATACAACATGTGGTTTTTACAACGGGGTCTAACTTAGGACACTTTCAAGATCCACCCATTTCGTAACTTCATGTGTCATTCCTTTGTATGTGAGTGTAGTAGCTGCTGGGTGGGTAGTGGCACATTTTGTGTATCCATGCAGAGCTGACAGGTGCTTGGGTGGTGTCCACTGTGTTAGCAGTATGGGTCACGTTGCTGTGGACATTAGTATAGGAGCCTTAATGCAGACTTGCTTTCAGCCTTCATGGATAGGTATGGTAGGTATATTTGTGCTGGGTAAGTTAGTAACTTGGATAAATTTTTTAAAGGAATTTCAGGATTGTTTTCTCCAGAGTGTCTAAAATCATTTTCCCCTGGCAGTGTGTACAGTTTGCAAATTCTCCACATCTTCACTACTTACTGGTGTCTTTTATTGTAGCTATGCTACTGATAAGAAATGATATTCTATGCTTTCCATTTGCATTTCCCTAATGGCTAATGATTCTGTGCATCTTTTCATGTGCTGCTGAGTACCAGTATGTCATTGAGACATCTGTTCACATGCTTTCCCCATTCTTAAGTTGGGTCAGCTTTTATTTGTGTGTTCTAAGAGTTCTAGACTGAATCTTTAGTAGCAAATATGTTGTTCCACTCTAGGAATTGTCTTTTTCACTTCATTAATAGTGCTTTTTCTAGCACAAAAGCTGAATATTCCTTAGGATTTTCTATGTACAAAATTGTATCCTCTAAAAATAAAAGACAGTCTTGTTTCTTTTGGTACTGGGAAAAAAAACTTCTAGTATGTGAAATATTTATTCATAGAAAAATAATTTTATGATTGTGACATTTGCTTTTGCTATAGATGATGTCATTTCCAAGACTAACCTGACAAAAGTAATTTACTTCATTGTATTGTTTCCTTGATTCCTGAGGTCTTCACCTTGGGTGGTTTCCATTGCGATTTCATGGGCCAGTCGCCTGGGTTGCCTTCAAGAGAATTATAAATATAAAAAGGAGTGTGCCCTATAACTCAATGATCCCCTAAAAACCTAATTGCAATGCAAACAAAAATAATCAACAATTCTCCAAGTATGGTACAAATGAAAGTGATGTACAAGTTATAAGAATTAAGTAATTTGAGCAGCTGAGTATAAGTTAGATCCCTCTTTGACTCAGAGTATGAATCATTCATATAACCTAAGTACTCATACTCTGGAGGCAGCAGAGCAGAATAAGCAGTGGAGTCCAAAAGCCTGGTGTTGTGTTGGCTGTCACCAATCATGTGACCTTGAGGAAATTACTTAACGTCTTTGAGCTTCAGATTCTCCCTTGAACCTGAAAGTGTCTGTATCTTTCTCATGGTGAGTAACTGGCAATACTTACTAAAGCTTTTAAAATAAAGTTTTTTAGAAGAGAGTCCAGTACCTCAAAATAAGCTATTAATATTAGCTATTTTCTCCTTATTTTTAGGCAAAAAAATTATTCCTCTCAATTATGATGCATCAAGCTCGGTAAAAAAAAAAAAAAAAATCACTTCTTTCTTTAGAATGTTCTTGCCACATTTCTGTACTTCTGAGCCTCAAAATAGTATCAGCCCCAAATCCTCACTTGCAGAGGGCTTGAGGTCCCACAATTAGAGACTCTCTCAAGAGAGTGAGTGGTGGCTTCAAGCACTGTTCTGAGATCTTTTTTGCTAATTCTTGTACTTCTGTATGTCCCCAGGAATTTTTATTTCTGATCTATACAATTTTATTTCACCCATACTTTGGTATTCATTCTGTAGTATATCCTTTTCTAGAAAATACAACTCAGTGAATGTCAGGACATGAAGCACCCTAGATTCCAAGGGCCGTTATGCAGTCCCCTTTCCCTAATTAAAACAGCACTGCTCAACATTCAAACAGTTCCACCTAGCTAAAGGTCATCTCTTCACTTTTCCTTAATATTAATAATGATAACAGTAGTAACAAATGCTGTTAAACACTTGTTCCATGCCACATACATATCTGAGAGTCTTGCATAAATGAGTTCATTTATTTGCTCACATTAACTATGGTGTCCAATTCCTCCAAGTCTGTTTGGCACTCTCCTACTCCTAAAACTGAAGACTGGAACCCCAGGAATCACACCAGTCTCAGGCGAATCAGGATGCCTGGCCACCCTAATCAATTCTTAGAACTAGATGCTATTATTATTATCATCCCCATTTTAGTCAGAAAGCATGTGCAATTTTCTCAAAGACACAGCCTTGACTACTTGGCTTCTACCGGTGTACTGAGAACTCCCCTAATTCTTCTTAGAATAAGATTTCTTTTTGTACTGAACTCTTATGTTCACACTGTAGTTTTAACTTTTATAATTACTTTTATAATTATAATTACTTTTATAATTACTTTTCCACTTATTATAAAATTATATAAATTCATTTTGTTCCAACTCATCTCTACAGAGCAAACATACTATTCTTTTGTATAGAGCTGATTATGGCCATTGACAAACCACTTTCCCTAGTAAGGGAAAGAATTAACTAAGAACTCCCACTTGAAGTCACTGCCATCTGATTGCTTCAATAGTACTTTTGCTTATGTATTTATTTTTCGCTAGCCAGGAAGGTGTTTTTTCTGCTGAGCTATTTCCCCAGCCCTCAATAGTACTTTTATTTTTTATTTATTTATTTTTTAATTAATTAATTTATTTGTGTGTGTGTGTGTGTGTGTGTGTGTGTGGCCAGCTCAGCCCACCAGGGGGCGGGGCTGGCTGGCATGTGGTGCTGGGGGATTGAACCGCGGTCCCTGTGCTTTGCTAAGTTTGTTCTAAGTAGGTGCTTTAGACCACTGAGCCATCTCACCAGCCCCCTCAGTAGTACTTTTAGAAAGCTGATCTCTTGCTTGAATAAAATGTTCTTTCTCTCACCACCTCCTACATTTATCTCCCTAAGGTGATGGTGCTCTAGAGACAGGAGGAAGAAGCTACTGCTTCATTGTAGTAGTGGAAAAGCGCTGATGTCCCTGCCATTCATTTGTGCTGTATCAGTATCTTGAATTATGATTCACATATTTAAAATCCATCAAAAGAGAGTTAAATGAAAGAATGAAAATAAAATGGCTTCAAAAGTTCCTATTTGGCTAATGTCAAATAGGAGGAAAAAAATTACTTTAAGTGAGCCTGTCAGTCCCTATCTTTTTCTGAGAA